ACTGTGACCCCTAGGGCCTTTTCCCAAGGCCTGTTACCCAGCCATTCGGACCCTAGTCTGTAGTAGTGCATGGGATTCTTCCGTCCTAAGTGCAGGACTCTGCACTTGTCCTTGTTGAACCTCATCAGGTTTTTTTCGGCCCAATCTTCTAATTTGTCTAGTTCCCTCTGTATCCGATCCCTACCCTCTAGTGTATCTACCACGCCTCCTAGTTTAGTGTCATCTGCAAACTTGCTGAGAGTGCAGTCCACACCATCCTCCAGATCATTAATAAAGATATTAAATAAAACCGGCCCCAGGACCGACCCTTGGGGCACTCCGCTTGAAACCGGCTGCCAACTAGACATGGAGCCACTGATCACTAGAGATCCTTGTGTTTGATCAGAAACTGCCTCCTTTCTCACTAGCCTGCTCCTATTGTCTAGTGCCAGGGCCTGTGACACAGCAATCACTTTGTGGGGATGGTTGTGACATCACAGAATGGATCAGATGATGGCTAAACTGGAGTTTATTTTCAGGACTTGAAGTATTTGAAATACGCATTCATGTTTCTTATATATTTCAGGAACCCTGGTAGAGACAGCATGGGTAGTCCTGACAACTATGGGAAACATGAATGTGTATTTCACTGCAATATTTTGGCTCTAGATTTTTCTATGCAAATTATATTTTTCACTTATTGAAAAAGAATTTCCATTTCTTTCTCTTCCCTCTTGTAACTCATTCTATTTTCATTGTTCTGCCTGCCTGCCTCTTGTTTTTTAACTGCCCCCCTTTCTTCAGTCTAAATTGCTCCTCTGTTGCCTTCCTCCTATGTTCCACCATTACATCCACTCCAATCGGTCCCTGCTCTCTCTCTCCTCCCCCCCCCCACCCAAATTCACTCCCCTCTGCCCCAGATGGAGTCCCAGGAGGGCAGAGGGAGCTGATAGGGACATCTTCTTGCCCCTAGGATCAGACTAGTCCTGCCTTTTCCCACTAGAGTCAGGGGGAGCCAGAGGCACTCAGATACAGAAGTGATAGAAGCCTTATAGCTCTCTGGGTAGACACTTGGGTAGCAAGAACCTCATTCCCCTAGAAGCACTGGGGACAGGGTTTCCTCTTCTTCTGAAGGAGGAAGAGCTGGCAATGGTGCAGACTTCATGCTGAAGGGCAAGCAGATAGGAGTCTTCCAGCTGGGATGCCTCTTCTTTTCCAAGTGCAGCTAAGCCTTCAACTCTGAGGCAGAAAGCTGGAGCCCAGAGACTCCCCATCCAGACACAAGCTCCTCCATTGAGATGCCAGCAGCATTGACACCCTCTGAATTCATTCCACCTGTGCCACACCCATGATCGGAGTGTGATATTCCCTTTTGGTTTTGTGTTGACAGAGGCTGGGGAGGGAAAGCGGCTGAACCTGTGGCTTTGGCAGTTCCAAACTGTTGCTTCATGTTGCACCAGTGATCTGATAATCTATTGTCTTTCATAGGTAGCTTTTGCCTTTGAAGTGTGTGTGTGTGTGTGTGTGTGTGTGTGTGTGTGTGTGTGTGTTCACGTGCATGTGTCTGGAGAGTTTATGTGTGTGATAGGGCAGGGACCTGGGGGTGCAATAAATCATTGCAAACCAATTGTATATCAGCAGAATGGGCCAGCTGCCACTGTCTGGATGGTTTGGCGAACTGTGATTTATTTGGAAGGCTTTGGTTGGGGTGCTGTTTTTCAATGCTTGTGCAGTTGGATGCCCATCCCTCAGTCACTGAAGCTATAAATGGTAGATAGTCTCCTCCTTCCCTATGGAATTAAATTCCAGTCTTAGGTATAGGCAGACAGGAGTCTGCAGAGTACTGCAGTGTGTAACTTTAGCAAGAACGATTTTTGTTGGAGGAGTGGAGAGTGTTTGGTTGGGTTTTTTTTTTTTTTAAAGGATCAGAAAACGTTGGGTCACTTTTCCTTTAATTATTTATTTTTTGCACTAGGTTTTAGCTGAAGTGAAAACACTGAAATATTATGAGTGAGAGGCTGTTTCAAGCTCCTCCTAGCTGAACAGCAGCAGAGACTACTGGAAATCGCATAATAAAACCTCTTCTACTGAATTGGCCGGGCTGGTTTGTTTACCTGCCATGTCTGCAGGTTTGGCCGATCGCGGCTCCCACTGGCCAATGTGGGCTGCGGGAAGTGGTGTGGGCTGAGGGATGTGCTGGCCGCCACTTCCTGCAGCCCCCTTTGGTCTGGGATGGCAAACTGCAGCCAGTGGGAGGCGCGATCAGCCAAACAAACTGGCCCGGCCAGCCAGGGCGCTTACCCTGGCGGGCTATGTGCCAAAGGTTGCCGATCCCTGATGTAGATGAATTAGCAGTGTTGGGAGGAGCAGAATTGAAATGGCCTGAGGCTGTGCACTGTGGCTAAGATGCACTGGCAGAGCTTCATGGGAGCCCAGAAGAGAATGACCACAGGTGTTGCAGGTCAGGACTGAGGGGCATCAGCAGAGATGTATGATAGTTCAAGATTGGAATTGCAGGGGGTATTGTGTGTCAAGCAAGACTGAAAAGTGTTCCCAGAGCTCTCTGAGGGAAACTTGCTCAGTTCACATTCTGCCCGATTCTGACCGGTCCCCATCACTCTGCCCGATTCTTTCAGATGCAGCCTGTATCTCCATAACTCATGAATATTCATTTGCCCTAACATGAACCGCATGGATGCATTTTTGAAAGAAGCTGCAAATCCAAGTTTTCAAACCCTGCTGTTCCTTTCCATCTCACATTGTTAAGGGCCCAGAGGCAATAGCTGTCCCTTCATTTAATGGCAAAGCTATAATATAGCTGGAGAAATATAATAGCCAGAGAAGCATCACTGCAAAAAAAGGAAACACACATCTTCTGAAATCTGAGGTGATAGTTATTTCCTCTTTGCTCCCTAAGACGGTGGGGTTTATCTAGATGCCCATCTCTTCTTTGTCTCCAGTGCTGGGTTTGGGATTCTGGAGCCAGGATACTTTCATTCTCAGTTTGGTTGCTAATAGATTTGCTCCTTTTTATCTTCTGCTGTCCTCACTCAGTGGGCCAAATTCTGCTCTGACATACAACCTGTGCAGCCTCACTGAAGTCAGAGGGCTGATACAGAACAGAGTTTGGCCTGCTATATGGGCCCAGATCCCCAGCTGATGTAAATTGGTGACAGCCAGCTGAGAATCTGGTCCTGAGTCAGTACAACAGTGCAAGAAGGCAAGGGCAAGGTAATGCTGTTTTCCTCATTTGACAATGTCTCTGTAAAAAAAAGAGCATTTAAAGGAACATGTCATTGGGTCAGACAATGCACTCCATTTGACCTACAGTGTTTTAAAATTATTTTACGCTGAGAAAGTCCTCTGGAGTCTAAGTATGTGATTTTTAGCTGGTGAAAATCCAGACTGCGCTGACAGTGACCAAGAAATATTTTTGTTCTGTTTCTGTATCCAGTCAAGGGATCACAAATGGGTTAATAAATGTTATTCACAGAATTATGCTGGTGTCACTGGCAATGTCTAATCAGTGATGCTCATGATGTGAGAGCTGTGTGGGCCTGTGCTCCATGCAAATTGGAAAAAGAAAGACCACTCTTTGCCAGATAGGAATGAGCAAAACCAGTATGGAAAGAAGTGTCACTTCGAAACTTCTGAGGAAGATGTTGGAGTGAATAAACCAACGCTAGTGGGCTGGGCTAGTGGATGGATCACAGGGCTGATAATGGGATATTGAACCTTCAGCCTCTTGATGGCCTGTTCAGATCCAGCTCCTGTGGGCAGCTAGGTAACATCTGTTACCATCCGCTCTTTGGTCTGAGGCCTCGTGGTCTCCTGTTCCTAGTGGACAAGTATCCCCACTAAAAAACCCACCACAAATGACACTACCTGGTGTCAGCAATCTCTGCAGGAATGGCCAAGCACAGATTAGACATGGAGGCAGAAAGCTAGATCCTCAGCTGGTGTAAATTGGCATCGCTCTGCTAAGTGCCATGGAGCGATGCTGATGAACAGCAACTGGGGTCTGGCCCTGAGATTCAAACTCCATGTGTTCATGCCATTGCATACCAGTCAGTGTTACCAGACAGCCAAACTGAAGCACTGGAATGGGTTACCTAGGGAGGTGGTGGAATCTCCTTCCTTGGAGGTTTTTAAGGTCAGGCTTGACAAAGCCCTGGCTGAGATGATTTAGTTGAGGACTGGCCCTGCTTTGAGCAGGGGGTTGGACTAGATACCTCCTGAGGTCCCTTCCAACCCTGATATTCTATGCTCCAAAGGAAGCAGTAATCAGGATGAAAAGGAATCCACTCTAGGAGCCCTCATCTTCCTGCTCCAATGTACTTAAGTAGATAAGATTCTATAGGGCATGCGTTTATTGTGTGTGTGGGTGGGGGGGGGGGGGAAGCAGGGAGAACAGGAGTGATTAACAAGTCAGTTTACACCATTCCCATTTGCCTCGAGAGAGAGGAGGGCACAATGCCAGGTTTCCTGAGTCCCTGCCCTAGGGCTGGCATAGCTATTGGTGGAACAGTTGGTTGTGGGAGAGGTGGCAAGAACAACGTGGAGATGAAATGAAACTGAGCAGCAGTAACCAGGAAGAGGGTGTTAACAGAGGTCTGCTTCAGATGACTCTTAGAAGGCAGTTCCAAAAAAGCTCCTAGTTATTGCTTCTCTGCTCCCTGCAGTGAACATCACCACAGCTAATGTTTTATTCAGCTTTGGAGGGAAGTAGCTCTGCCTCCTGTATCAGCTCTGACTTGCTCCCCTTGGGGGAACAAACCATAAACCCAGCGCTCTGTCATAACCAAGCCAAAGCCACCACAGTGCTCATCCGCCTGGCAACTGAACCTCATCTCTCACAGGAACAGAGGCGAAGACGGAACAGGATTTCAGTTGCAAGATGGACTCTTCAAACGCCCAGTGAGCACACAAAGGCACAGGACTACTGATGCATAGCAGGAGGAACGATCCAGCACACAGACTCAGCATACCTGTGATGAGCATGGGTTCATTTCTGAGCAGGGTGGTGATTTCATGGAATTGATGGATGCATGAATTGCATGGGGGGAGGGATAGCTCAGTGGTTTGAGCATTGGCCTGCTAAACCCAGGGTTGTGAGTTCAATCCTTGAGGGGGCCACTTAGGGATCTGGGGCAAAAGCAGTACTTGGTCCTGCTACTGAAGGCAGGGGGCTGGACTTGATGACCTTTCAAGGTCCCTTCCAGTTCTAGGAGATGGGATATCTCCATTAATTTAATTTATTTATATTTAATTTATGAAAAAACCCAGTTTTTACATTTTTATTAACTTTCCTTTGTGGATTTAAACTTTCAGTTGAAAAAGAATTAATTGACTGTTCCTATTCCCTTGGCACATGAAATTGTTTTTCCTACATGTAGCTAAGCATTTGGCTAGGAAGAGAAATAATTAGCCACCCAATTGGTTGAGAGAGGCAGCACATGGAGGTGGCCTATAGAGATGTACAATATTTCTGTGTGAAAATTCCTTGCTCTTTAGAAGTCAAACCATTTTTTAATCAGGGAAAAGGAACAGACGTAGGAAAATCCATCCATCCCTCCAGTAACAACTTTAACAAATTCCATCACACTTTTTAAGTAGTTAGAACTAGGAATATTTTCACAAGAATTTTAACTTTCACAATTTACAGGTTGAATCATATGTCAGGCCAGTTCTGCTGTCATTTACACTGGTGTAAATCTGGAGTAACCCGACAGACTGCAGTGTCAATCATTGAAGTTCTGAAATCAGAATTTGAGACTGCTTAGAAATTCACACTATTAACACCAATCTGCAGGCTTGTCTGACAGATGCACAGGGTGGGCCTGTCAATGAAGTGTATATAATTAATATCATAAGGATGTGATTAGGGCTGCCAATTAATCATAGTTAACTCAAAAAAATTAATCGCGATTAATCACACTTAGAATAGAATACCAATTGAAATTTATTAAATATTTTGGATGTTTTTCTACATTTTCAATATTGATTTAAATTATAAGTGAGCACAGTGCTCACTTTATATTATTTTTTATTACAAATATATACACTGTAAAAATAATAAAGAAATAGTATTTTTTTAATTCACCTCATACAAGTACTGAAATGCAATATCTTTATTGTGAAAGTGTAAGTTACAAATGCAGATTTTTTGTGGTTACATAACTGCACTCAACAAAACAGTGTAAAACTTTAAGAGCCTACAAGTCCTCTCAGTCCTACTTCTAATTCTACCAATCGCTAAGAGGAACAAGTTTGTTTACATTGACAGGAGATACTGCTGCCTGCTTCTTATTTACAGTGTCACCTGAAAGTAAGAACAGGCATTTGCATGGCACTTTTGTAGCTGGCGTTGCAAGATATTTGCGTACCAGATATGCTAAACATTCGTATGCCCCTTCATGCTTCGGCCGCCATTCCAGAGGACATGCTTCCATGCTCATGATGCTCATAAAAAAAAAGCGTCAATTAAATTTGTGACTGTACTCCTTGGGGGGAGAATTGTATGTCTCCTGCTCTGTTTTACCTGCATTCTGCATATATTTCATGTTATAGCAGTCTCAGATGATGACCCAGCACATGTTTATTTTAAGAACACATTCACAGCAGATTTGACAAAACTCAAAGAAGCTACTGATCTGAGATTTCTAAAAATAGCTACAGCACTCGACCCAAGGTTTAAGTATCTGAAGTGCCTTCCAAAATCTGAGAGGGATGAGGTGTGGAGCATGCTTTTAGAAGTCTTAAAAGAGCAACACTTTGATGCGGAAACTACAGAACCCAAACCACCAAAAAAGAAAATCAACCTTCTGCTGGTGACATCTGACTCAGATAATGAAAATGAACATGCGTCGGTCCTCACTGCTTTGGCTCATTGTTAAGCAGAACCTGTCATCAGCATGGACGCATGTCCTCTGGAATGGTGGTTGAAGCATGATGGGCCATATCAATCTTTAGCGCATCTGGCACATAAATCTCTTGCAATGCCGGCTACAACAGTGCCATGGAAACACCTGTTCTCACTTTGAGGTGACAATGTAAACAAGAAGCAGGCAGTATTATCTCCTGCAGATTGTAACCAACCTTGTCTGTCTGAGCGATTGGCTGACCAAGAAATAGAACTGAGAGGACTTGTAGGCTCTAAAGTTTTACATTGTTTTAATTTTGAATGCAGTTTTTTTGTACATCATTTTACATTTGTAAGTTCGTTCAACTTTCATGATAAAGAGATTGTACTACAGTACTTGTATGAGGTGAATTGAAAAATATTTTTTTTACAGTGCAATCAACAATAAATATAAAGTGAGCATGGTACACTTTGCATTCTGTGTTGTAACTAAAATTAATCCATGTGATATTTAATCCATACAGGTAACCTTTGAATGGGCCATGAGTATCTATAGCTGTCTGTGTTTTGCTATGTATCACGATTCCTCTAGTTTGAGTGCACCCAGATAAATCTTGCAGTGCTTGTGCAGGCACTAACGTGTAACACAGAGAGGTACAGGCCTAGCACTGGTCTGAGCTTTTAACACCGGTTCTGGTGTGTGTAGCCCTTGCCAAAGCTGCAAGTGCTGTACGGTCTGGGTGGAATAGAAGCCAGAGTGGTGGTGGTTTGCCGAAGGCATGCTGGTTCTGGATCACTGCTGGAGGTGGAGCTGGAGAAGAAATGGAAAGCTGCAGTGTAAGAGCTCCTTTCTCTGGTGTCTTGCTGCATTCTTAGGGGTGAAGAGTGACACAAGCCGCTGCGGAGTCTGTGAGCTTGTACTAAACCAGCTTAGTGTGGGATGTCCAGTCTCCCAGTCCTATCTGAACCCAGGGAACAAGGAGTCTGCTGTTGAGTGACAAGCTACAGCTAATGGAGTGACTCCTGTCACTTGAGCACTAGGGGTTCGTGCTGTTGGTGATGGAGGTCCTATCCACGATACTGCTGTTATCCGTGGTGCATGTCTGACTGTAGCAGAAGGTTACCTGAATGCTTCTCTTCCTCTACCCTCCACATTTTCAGTGTGTGACGTGGGGTCATGGGGAGCAGTTAGATGATTTGCCAGCAAAACCTCCCCTGTGAATGCAATGAAAAGATGATCACAGCTGCCACTGGGTGCAGGAAAACTGTACTATCCCTGAGGCCTCACCAAGTCACAAGTGAAATGAACTGGATGGGTCTTGACCTGAACTGTTCCTTAAACCGTTTCAGCCCATAGCCATGAACAGGATGACCAGTTCGGCCCCCCAGAAACACTTTCCTCTGACAGGGCCCAGTGGCTGTTGTGCTGTGTTCCTATGGAGCAGGGAAAGGAGCTGAGGGTCACGTAGCGTGTGCTCAATACCAGACATCTTAGGTGGGGGCAGTGCTGGGATCAGTGTTCAGACCTTGGAACAAACCATACAAGATTAGTCCTCACTGCATGTGCAGGATCCACACTTGCCTCTAGTCCGAGAGCCATGGAATCAGGGGCGGCTCCAGGCACCAGCACAGCAAGCATGTGCCTGGGGCAGCAAGCCGTGGGGGGCGGCCTGCCGGTCCCTGTGAGGGCGGCAGTCAGGCTGCCTTCGGCGGCATGCCTGCGGGAGGTCCGCCAGTCCCGCAGATTCGGTGGCAATCTGGCGGCGGGTACGCGGAAGCCGCGGGACTGGCCGATCTCCCGCAGGCCTGCCGCCGAATCGGCATGACCAGCGGACCAAAAGCCGCCTGACTGCTGTGCTTGGGGTGCCAAAACACATAGAGCCGCCCCTGCATAGAATAGACACAGCTTGGAAGGACTCTCCTCCCAGTCAATCCAGACAGCGTGTCACCAGCACAAGAGCACCTCCCCCAGTCAAATGGAGGGGAAAGGAAAGTGGGGTCGAGTGTAGGGATGAGGAGATGGGTTGGATGATTCAATGGAGCAGACTTATTTGCAGATGCATCACAGCCAGTCTCTGTCCTAAGGCTACTCCATTCATCCAGGCCAGCTCCTGCACTCTCTGGAGGGTAGTTACGGGGCTGGCCGGGATCCTGAAATCTTTTAGAGGTTCTTTCTAATCACAGCTCAGCAGCTACCGGTAGAGGAAACATTTTCATTAAAAGTCTAATGAAGCAAAGGTTTGGGTTTGTTTTTTATTGTCCATGTTAGAAGTTAGTATCTCCTTGCGCTTCTCCTTCCTTCAGTTGGGAAGCAGCTAGGGGTCTCATTAAAAAGTAATTGGCAGGGAATGCACCTCCTTTGCCCAAAACCCCCACAAAATGATTAAACAGCTCTCTTGGAAAAGAAAGAAAGAGGCTGGCAGATGGGTGGCGACAGCTGTTGGGTCTGTGCAAAGAATAATGCAGAGATTTCCTGGCATTTCACTTACTGCATGTGCTCTGAAAGGAGATTACATTTGTAATTCCCCTCCACATGCTGGGCTTCTCTCTCTTGCTCAGCTCTGGCTACATTTATTCCATGCAAGGAGTCATTGCTTCTTCCTTTCAGTGCAGCTTTTGTAGGGATGCAAACATGGTTTACAAACAGTGATGATGGCTGTTTGCTGGTGGTGTCACCTAGAAAAGGGCTTCCCATCACCACTCCTCTTTGGATTTGTTGTGCACACAGAAAATCAGCCTGAAATCTCTGATGCTTCCCCCTCTCCTTCCGTTTGTTTTTAAATAACAGATGCAGAAAACAATTTTGTGCAAGAAGAATTCCCATACCAATAGCTTGTTCCCAGAGTCCAGAGGACATATACTCTGCCAATATGGCTGCCCATGTCTATACACCTGACCTAGGCAATCCCTGCTTTCTGGCAACAGTCTGAAGCCATGTGCATTGTGGCAGTACCAGAGCCAAGTTGGATGGTGTGTACATGTCTGTATGCCATTATTCAGAATGCCCTTCCAACTCTCCTCCCTCTCCCATGGTCGTTGCTGGGGTCTGCTCTCTGGGAATAGGCTGAAAGGTTTGGGCATGCTTTTGGTGTTTGTTCCACAAGTCAGGGCCCTGTCTATGAACCTTCCTCACCTAAGTAGCCCCTATTTAGGTGGGCAGCTCTGTTGAAGTTGATAGGACTGCTCAGGGAGTAAGCATTTGCAAGTTCAAGACCAGAACCATGAAGATGTTTGTTCCCCTGCTGTCAGCTTCCAGCCCTTTCTTGTATTTGGGACATTTGCAAGGAAATAAAATAGGCACAACTGCAAGAAATGCCTCTTGTTCAGCACCAGTTGTCGAGATTTATGAGGGCAGTGGGTACACATTCTACTGCCTAGTTTCACAGGTGTATCTGCCCTCCTCTCTTTCTCACCCTTCTACACAGATAACACAGGCTACAGCTCCATAGCACCTACTATGTCAGTGCCTGGGGTAAGCCAAGGGTCTAAGCGATAAATACCAAGTGTGCCCTCTGTTTCAGATCACCTGTTAGCGGACTCCTATATTGGACAGGAAGACTCCCCTGAGATGCAGCAGGCAGCTCAGAACAAGCGCAGGCTGTCCGTCATCTCAGATGGCAAGTTTGAGAGAAGCTTCTCTGAGGAGCAGGCCGAGAAGATCCCGAGCGAGGGGCCGAACGCACGGGTGTATACTATCTCCGGTGAGAGGCCGATGCTGTCGGACCACGAGAACGAGAGCATGGAATTGGTGGTGATGAAAGGCACTGGCCGAGAGGACTGCCACCATGGCCAGCCTCTGCAGAGCGCTGGCAGCTCTCACAACATTAGCAGGCATTGCAAAGGCTGGGCAGGCAGTCGGCAGGGCTCCAAGGAGTGCCCAACCTGTGCTCAGTTGGCAGCCCACTCCCAGCACTCCTTTGACCTGGAGCAGCACCAGTCCAGCGAGACAGGATGGCGTAGGAAAAAACTGGAGAGGATGTATAGTATTGATCGAGTGTCTGGTAAGTGAGTGTGGATGTTGTGTGCACGAAGGGTACAATGGTTCCTATTGACATGGACTGCTGCACCTCTCTCCCAGCTTCAGAAATGAATCTCCAGGGAACAGTGATTGGCCTAGAGAACTTGAGCCAGTATCCCTTGGGCTTTCCATTGAGTGCTTTGCTAGTATGTGGTGCCAGCACTGGGCAGAGGGAGGTGGCAAAACAGTGAGCATAGAATAAGTCAGGAGGATGCACTATTGGGATCTTCTGTTTGGCAGCAGGAGCAAGGTCCTCAGAGTGGAGAGCACCCAGCCTTAACCGCTCCTGATGTGACCAATGGGAGTCCTGCTGTTGGCTCAGCTCCCAGCCTGGCAGCACCAGCAGCACTAATTGGTGCCACAGAGTGTCCATAAGGAAGCCTATTGCACCATCCAATAAGCTCTGTATGGTGATGCTGTAAAGTGTCTTTGATGGACGCTACATTGGGCAGACACTCTGTAATATACTGCTTCCCTGGAAACGCTATTGTGGGTGGAGTGACATAGTTCAGTGCTCCCTTGCAGTGTGATACCATACAGTGCCTTTCTATGGACACGGCAGTGATATAAAATTGTACTTCTTTCCTCATCAGTGGTCTGTTTGCCGCTCACACTCGCACCATGAGCATCTTCAGGCAAAATGATATATAATGTCCTCATCTGGGACTAAGAAATTCTTTGATTTCTTTAATATCTAAAGCTTTCATCACATTTTACACCTCAATACGTACACTGTGTGTGTGTGTTACATTTAATGCAATACTTGTATGTCTATCTCTATCTAGTCTATGCCAGTAAGAAAGGAGATGTTTGACTGTGTGGCAAAGGTGCTCACGTTGTTTTCTTGACTATTTTTTTACAAACAGCACAGACTTTAAGAGACAGGAGTCAAATTAACTACAGGAGGGCTCAGGTCTTGTTTGCAAGAAGAAGAAAATATAAGGGAGCTCAAACGATGGCTCTTCCCTGGATCATATCCTTATCTGTGTGCATGTAAAATGTCATGAAGATTAGGCAAGGGACCACGTTTTCAAACCTGGCTGCCTGAAGTTAGGCACCAAAATTTATACGTAGACTATTGTAAAGAAAAATCCCTGGATTTTCCAAGTTTCAGAGTAGCAGCCATGTTAGTCTGTATCCGCAAAAAGAACAGGAGTACTTGTGGCACCTTAGAGATTAACAAATTTATTAGAGCATAAGCTTTCGTGGACTACAGCCCACTTCTTCTGATGCATATAGAGTGGAATAAATATTGAGGAGACATTGGTAGATGTGCAGGTGAACGAGTCCCTGATGGTATGGCTGATGTGATTAGGTCCTATGATGATGTCACTTGAATAGATATGTGGACAGAGTTGGCATCAGGCTTTGTTACAAGGATAGGTTCCTGGGTCAGTGGTTTTGTTCAGTGATGTGTGGTTGCTGGTGAGTATTTGCTTTAGGTTGGGGGGTTGTCTGTAAGCGTGGACAGGTCTGTCTCCCAAGATCTGTGAGAGTAAAGGATCATCTTTCAGGATAGGTTGTAGATCTCTGATGATGCGCTGGAGAGGTTTTAGTTTAATTTTCTACAATTCCTAACCTCTTCTCAATTTTCAACAATTTTCTACAATTCCTAACC